AATTTCAAAGAACGTTTTTCAAATTGGAGAAGCCAATATACATGACTTTACTATTGTGAAGTAAAGCTAATGGAATTACTATCTATTTATTGACTCAATATTGCATAGTCTTAAAAAATAATATACCAGCTGTGGTTTACATGTATTTATGTAACTTTCCTGTTTTTAAAGTAAGTCTCTAGCAGCAATAGAGGTGCAAGTGACCTGGGGGCAAATAATTTTCTTTGAAAAAGGCTAGTAGTATAGGAGAGGAATCATTGTGGTAGCTGATAATGGAGAAAAGTAACAAAAAGTCCCACATAAAGAGTACTGCCACCTGCAGTTGTCTGTTATAGGGAGTGCTGCTTCACTCACTTGGTAACCTCCTAAATGGTCAGATGATTAGGGCAGCACAGAAGTATTTCCCAAAAATGTTTGGAATTCTTAATGGAGTTTGGGTACATGAAAGATAACCAGAATTATTTGGAAAATGAATATTCATGAAACTCCTTAATCTTTGATGATATCAGATTAATGAAGTGTTACTCTGTAAGACAAGTATATGTTCATGTGTGTCCTGACATATTTCTTAAATTGGTGGTCATAATCTATAGTAATAAAAGGGTAATATGCAAATTGGTTGGGACACCATCACAGTAATGACCGATTAGCAGGCTGCATGTGCAGCATGCGTGGTGGGTGGGGACTTGCAGCGTTGGGGATGGGGGCAGGGACTTGCAGCATTGGGGATGTGATGGCGGCTGCCACTTGCCCAGGGTCAGCCCTGGGCAAGCAACTGTGGGGACATGGGCGGGGGCAGCGGGCCCCGCAGAGGGAGGCCTGTACTCCCCACATGGCGGTGGCTGTGAGCGCTCCCGATGGCCACTGCTGTTTGCCCAGAAGGACCACAGGTTCCTTCTGCCAAGTGGCAGCAGAGTCGCTCTGCAGGGAAACCTCTGCACCAGCAGCAAAGGCAGATGAGCGAAGGAAAGCCCAGTAGTGAAGGCAGGTGAGGGAAAGTCCAAGCTCCATAGCTAAGAGCTCCTGGCCCAGTCACACCCCACCTTGGCCTCCAGCACTGCGGGTCAGGGGTCCTGAGAAAGGCAGCTCCTTCCTGCAGCTCCTTCCCATCGCCCCTCAACACCCCTCGGGTCAGAGTCAGGAATCAGTGGAGGCCTCCAGGGGCCCAGGCAACCAATGTAGGGAATTTCTTCTAGCAGCCGGACCCAATGACTCAGGCTGGAGGGAGACCCTGCAGCCAGGAGAACCCTGGAAGACGCGGTCTGCCCATCACTGGATGAGCGCACCCAATTGGTTAAGCATGGGGAAGCTCGTGGCCTATGGCTGCTGCCGCTTGCCCAGGGCCGGCCCATTTCTCCGGCAAACCGCCGATGGCCTCTGCCGCTGCAGGGGCCCGAGGCTCAGGCAATGAGGGCCAGGCGAGGCTCAGGCAAGCTGCAGTGGCTGCAATGGCTGAGGCTCAGGCAGCCGGCAGTGGCAGCAGCAGAGGCATGATGGGAGCGTCACTTGCCCCTGATCACAGTGTCGCCTCCCGCAGAGGGAGGCCAGACTGCGGCTTAGGCCTGCTCCCTGTGGGGACATCCCCTGAGGGCTCTCTCCCCCCCACCCCAGTGCATGAATTTTGTGTCTGTCCATCCGACCGGTAGCTATGACACACACTGACCACCAGGGGTCAGACACTCAGTGCAGGAGCTGCCATGATGTGCGCTGGCCATTTAAAAATAAATGGCACCACAGTCCTGACGTCAACAAACCAACACTCGGCTTCCCCCAAGTGAGACACAGGCCCAGCCACCACCCCGGAGCAACACCCCCCCAAATCACAGCCAATACTGCCATGACCCCATGGCGTAAAATGCGGCCCACACCCCAGCCAAGCCCGGAAACAGTTGCTGTGGGCGCCTGGTAATGATGTCACGTAACAACACCTGGCTTTCTCTCCCTAGCGACTAGCATCCTTGGAGTTTCTTCAGCCCAGAAACCCAACTTGCTTTATAACCAGGTGCAAACACTTTACAGCTTAACCAAATGTTTGTGAAGCATTTTCCTGTGCCTCATGTCATTTGATCCTCACAGAAATCCTGGAATAGGTAGATAGGAGACTCAGTAGAATCCTATTTTCTTTTCATTAGCAAGATGCGAATAGCGATATTAAAATAATTTCTTCTAATTAATTTCCTTTCAGTGTGCGTGAATCCGTGCACCGGGACACTAGTATTTTATAATTTGCTTTGCTTTTTAAAAAGTTTTACCATAGTAATAAATGTTTAATGAAATTGTATGATAAATTGTATATGATACCAGGAATCAATATACCTGACTTACTTTTGACTGGCACAGATCACATGAATGAAGAAGTCATTTTTGCAAAACTTTTTGAGGGCTTCATCAGTTTTCCTAAGGGCCTCTTCTTTTATAGTTAAGTCTCTTGAAGTACTTGTTAATAGCCTTAATGACAATTTAAATACTAAGTACTCTAACTCTTGAATTCTCAATTGTCTTGGCTTTCTTTGCCTGTGTGTGATTGGAGAAGTTCTCCAACATCACTTTGGAGGAGAGACAAAGATGTTGACTTGGTGGTCAAGAAGAGACATGATAGTGTTAACCTGGGAGAGATCGATTTTATAAATGGGCAGTTTATGACAACTATTTATTGTAGTAATAACTGGTTTCTTTGTACACATACATATGTGACAGATGGAAAACATTTCTTGCACTAAAATGCACAGTATGTTCTTGGAAACTTTTTTGAATTCGCTCTTATGATCCATTGATTTTTTTGTCTTATTTGTGCCTGTCACATGGATTTTTAGTTATTATAGGCTTACAGTACATCTCATCTATACTAATAAAAGCGTAATATGCTAATTAGACTGGATGTCCTTCTGGATCTCCTTCCAGACGGCCTTCCAGACAAAGCTGGGGCTGCGAGGGAAACCCGGGTCCCAGGCGCCTGCCAGTGGCTGGAGGGAAGCCCAGGTCCCCGGTGCCAGAGGGAAGCTGGTGCTGGCAGCCGGGGGAAGGAAGGCCTACTCTTGCATGAATTTTGTGCATTGGGCCTCTTAGTATATAATAAGGCAAGACTGCCCTTATTCGTTTTTGAAATGTTCATGGGTATTTACTTTGTAGTTACTTTTTCCTCATGGGAAAATACATTAACATTTTTAAAAAATATGATTGGATTTACTTTGTATCTTTTCTTTAATTATCGTTTTTCAAAAAACTTCTTGACTAAAAGAGATAAAGGAGACTGGAATATTCATTCTGAAACTCTGTGGAAGAAAACCAAAATGGATAATCTCTGAAAGAAAACTCAAGGTTATCTATCATATTACAATTCTCAAAATTTCTTATTGTGAAGCAATAATAGTAACTTCTTTTTAGAAAATACTTTTTAAGTTGATTAATTTGGTAAGAATTATTATGGCACTTTTCTCTTTCCACTAAGTGTTGCTGAATATGACTGATAAGGTCAAATTACATTACTCTGAAAGATTTCTTGTAGTTGAATAGGGTTTCTTCCAATTCTCTGGCTTAATTACCCTTCCTTGAAGAAGGGAGTAAGGGGGGTTCAGATGCCCCACATTGAACTCTAAGTGTCATCTGGCCACCATTCTCATGTCACATCTCTGCAGCTCCCCAGAGTTCCCACATGGTGAAGAACCTTTGTGAATAAAGGGGAATCTAAAGAAATGGTGACGGGCTCGGTGGATTTTATTCAAGTAGTATAGGTAGTGGAAGGCTGAGAGTGAGCAAGGGCTTTATTTTTTAACTTCGTTTCTTCCAGGCACTTGATTCCTTAGGTCATGTGACCTGGAGTTCCTAAAGGGGTCCCATACCCTTAAGGTTTATCCCTGGCCTCTGAATGTGGCTTTCAGGGAGGGAAGATGGAACTAATTGGCTGTACAAAATAAAATTTAGGATAACCTTCCAAACACAGTAAGGGAAGAGGCATGAGGAGGAATTGTCCCCTGGCCAAACAGGCCAGGACTGACAGGTGACAGTGGTGATGGAAGGCAGTTTTTAGTTGACTGTAAGCTGTAGCTATGGCTCTCCAAGGGGGAATTGTTGCCTGTGTGGGGTAAATGTCTCATCTCTGGACCATTATTAGCAGTGTCCACGTGGCTGTCGGTCTGGGAGATTGTGGAGGATTCCTGTGTGGTTCTAAGTTTAAGATACAAGGCCTCTAAGGCCCCTTGCCACTTGGTGATTTTTTTATGCCTGTGTGTGTGTGTGTGTGTGTGTGTGTGTGTGTGTGCGCGCGCGCGCGCACGTGTGTCTGCGCGCACGTCGCACTCAAGCATGAGTATTTAACAACTTCTGTACCAGCTTTAACTCTATAATGTGAAAGAAAATAGTCGTTATTAGCTACTTAGGTATGGTATGCATGAGATTTGTTGGGCTTTGCAGTTCCATCAGCAGACACTCATATTGCTATATTGGGGGATATGTATGCATGCTATAGAAAGGATTATTAATTAAAACTTTTTTTCTGGTCACTGTGAAAGGGAACCTCCTCAGAGTTGCAGAGTTGGTTGAAGGAGACTAGTGGCTGCCTAGAATAAAGATGGAGGGAAAGGAGGAGTTTGTTGAGAAGAAAGCTGAGCTGGCCTACTCTACTTTAAAAAGTTAAAAAGGAAGAACACCACTGATCTAAGGAATTTTTATCCAGTATTCCACAGATTTGGAGTAGAGTAATGATGGCTTATTAGTTCTATAATCTATTTTCTAAAGGAATTATAGTGATATATGCAATAAGTGCTTTCATATGGCTCTGTAAAATATTTCAGATGTCTGTTAAATACCATTTATTTTTTACCTTTAAGATGTGGGAGTAGGTGTAGGGTGGGGTTTGAGTGGCCTGAATGTATTCACTTGAAAATCAAAGCTGTCATGTTTGTTTCTTGCTGCCATGAAGTACTACACATTTCAAAGAATTAGAATATTTCATAGCATTTGAATACAGAAGCTAAAGTCTCTCCTCCCTTTCTTTCATTTAGGTTTCCACTTGAGTGGCACAGTAACAGAACCTGCAATACAATCGGAGCCAGAAACTGTTTGCAACGTGGCCATCAGCTTTGATCGTTGCAAGATTACCTCAGTGACCTGCAGCTGTGGAAACAAGGACATATTTTATTGTGCCCATGTTGTGGCACTGTCTTTATATCGCATTCGCAAGCCAGATCAGGTCAAATTACATCTTCCCATTTCAGAAACTCTCTTTCAAATGAATAGAGACCAACTACAAAAGTTTGTACAGTATTTGATCACAGTGCACCACACAGAAGTTTTGCCAACTGCTCAGAAATTAGCAGATGAAATTCTATCCCAGAATTCAGAAATTAACCAAGTTCATGGTGAGTATAGATATTCATTCTGTAGATTTCTTCTGGACTTTTTTTTGTTTATAAGTTCAACTCCTCATAAAAATGAATTAAATGTAAGTTAGATCATCAGCATTGCTCTTATTAGATAGCAGAGAGAATTATAAGTGTGTGTGTGTGTGTGTGTGCGCACGAGCGCACATGCTTTATATATTTATTATTGATTTCAGAGAGGGAGAAAGAGATAGAAACACCAATGATGAGAGATAATCATTGATCAGCTGCCTCCTGTGTGCCCCCCCAACTGGGGGTTGAGCCCACAACCCAGGCATGTGCCCTGACCAGGAATCGAACCGTGACCATAGGCCAACGTTCAACCACTGAGCCATGCTGGCCGGGCCTACGTTTGTTTTGCATTTTAAAACAGTTCAGTTTTTGGGAGGCTCCTGGGGTTCGAGGTGGCTGGCTATTCTCTTTTTTGGGTAATCACGAAATAGCCACCTGGAAATTAATTCTCAATTCTCACAGGTACGGAAGCAGACTTTCGTTAGAGCTGGTCCATAGCTATAAGTAAGCTGGCTTATATAAAATGTCAGAGTGGTAAAAATCAGGTTTTTAAAAAATAAAGTGATTGAAGCTTTTGTTAGCTATAAAAAATTACTAGATTTATCTGTTCCTAGGAATTTATATTCTAGCCGCAGGGAATGGTGGGTGTAACCTTTTCATTTTACATATTTTAATACCACAAATGGTTAAGAGCACAGCCTCTGGGTATCAGGCACCCTGGGGCCCTGGAGTAGGGTGGGTGGGTTTATTTCCCCTTCCCTCCTCATGGTCCAGCCTGGGGCAGCCCAAGGATGACTGGGAAACATGGAAGGGCCGTAGTTCTCCACTGAAATGTGCCACTGCTTTCACTCCAGTAAGCCTTGGGCCAGGGTGTGTGTGAGGTCCGAGCCTTTCAGCCCATGACCCCTGAGTCAAAGGGCACCGGCGGGTTTTCCCCAACTGCTGGTGGAGGTTAGGGAGGCCAAGGGAAGGGGTTCAAGGGGTCTGACCTTGCCGCCCCCCCCCCCCCACCTCCCCCTCCCAGGTTGCTGGGCTGCTCCAGGTCTCTGAATTCCAAATGAGAGTAACAGTAAAACTATTTGTTGCTGCCTCGCTCTTTTTGAATTGTCCTTGGAAAGGGTCAGAACCTCGGAGAGGGGATTGGGGCTCTCAAGGTTGCACTTGATCCCGATGGTGTTCTGCTTTAGGGTTTTCATTTGAGACCAGGACCCTGCTTTCCAATGGGCTTTAATTCAGGGTGAGAAGAGGCTGAAAGCCAGGAAGTGGTTTGTTGAAGGATTGATGAATCCCGTATCTCTTCTGCTTTGATAGACTTCCAGGAGGTGTGGGGGTAGCAGGACCGGGTCTGCACGTATTGGTAATGCACTAATCGTATTTTTTCCACCAAGACTCAAACCCCATTGAGGCATGGAAGCCTCTTAAGCTTCCTGTCCCCTCTGGCCCTCTGAGCCACTCCTGTTGCCAGTCCACAGGACTTGGGGGGTTTTTGTTATGCATTGGGGTTATCTAGGGAAGAATTTGAGACACTGGAGACTACTTTTAAATTTAGGTTAGTTATTAAAATAATTTTGTTAGGAGGAAGTATTCCTTCATTGGTGGAGTTCAACTAAAAAATACCCAATCTATATTCCAGAAATGCCTCTTTCACAGTGAGAAGCAGCTCCCTTGAGGAGGTGCAACAAGTGGGCTGGAATTACCTGAAGAGGTCAGAGGGGGAGGCGGCCCTCAGCCCCAGACCCAGTCAGCCTGCTGGGAGAGGACAGAGAAGAAAAAAAAACACAATTCAGTTTTGTGCATTTTACTAGCTACCACATAGCCTTTTATGCTTAGAAAAATATTTCATTTGTTAAAGCTTGGCTTTTATATTTGGTAAAATTTCATCAAATACTAGATATTAGTTGTGGAAAACACTTATTTAACCATTTTATTTACCCATGTCAACTATTATCAGTAAACTGACTTCTGCATGCTCAGAATTTTTTTTTCTGTTTTCTTTAAAAATTTATTTTCCAAGGCAGAAAGTTTGTGACAGAATGCCTCAAAGTAAGAAAATAAATTATTTTTAGAAAAATATTGCAACTTGTTTATAGAGAGATTAGGATATGGCTATCATGAATAAGACATCGCCAAAAGGTTTTCTTTTGTACGTTGAACATGTGATTTCATTTATTTGTAAACACATTTACCAACTATTTATTTTGTGCATTGTAAATACGTTGACTCACAAGAATATATGCACAACTTTTCACAAATAGACATATCACCTATTTCATATATATTACATTAGGATAGGATAAATAATATTGTTAAATTATAGGTTGCTGTGCTTTTAAAACATTTAAACATAATTTCTGAAAGTTTTAAAAAAACATTTTGAAGACTGTGACAGTCTTGAGTAAGCAGTTTAGGGGCCTAACATTTTTACATTTCTTTAGTTGTATTGATTTGAGATACAGGGCCAGTCACTCAGTCCTATTGTTTTAGGTTTTCTTCAAAGTCATTACTTGATATATAGCAAATATAAATGTTTAAGGAAAGCAGTTGGAGATCATTTCTTAAAAACTTTAAATTGTGAGATATAACACACAGAAAAGTGCATAAAATACAAATTGCAGATTAACAAAGCAAACCAACACCCAGGCCAACAAATAGGCCACTCTCAGCACTGTCCATTAGAAATATAAGAGCCACATGTGTAATTTGAACTATTCTAGTAGCCTCATTTAAAACTAAACAAGTAAAATTAATTTTAATATGGGTTTTATTTATCTCAGTATATCCAAAATATTGATTCAACATCTTCATATTAATATCACAATATTCATAAGTATCAATTCAACATAAATATTGATATATTTTACCCTTTTTTCATATTAAGTCTTTGAAATCTGGTGTCTGTTTTACACTTTCAGCACATCTTAAATCACACTATAGTCACATTGCAAGTTCTCAATAGCCACATGTGGCTAGTGACTACCTTATTGGACAGCACAACTGTAGAGTGTTCTAGGTACAAGAACAGCACTATTGTCCATTCCACTGTTAATAGACCTTGTTGTTTTGAATAGAGCTGCTCCAAGCATACTTTTACAAGTCTCTGGGTGCCATAAGATATTTTTAACATGGTTTTTAAGTCAGGAAAACCGGCATAGCCATGTTTCTGTTAGTACTCCCCATATCAGGCTCAGCTTTATTAAAGTAGCTGTCTTAACGTGTGTAGAGCATTTTACTTGGTAGAGTCTACCAATCTATACTAATAAAAGGGTAATATGCTAATTAGACTAGGAGACCTTCTGGGAGATCTTCCAGACTTCCTTCTGGGCAAAGCCATGGTGGCGGGGCCGAGGCATAGGCAGTTAGGGGTGATCAGGCCGGCAGGGGAGGGCAGTTGGGGGCGAGCAGGCCAGCGAGGGGACAATTGGGGGTGATCAGTCCAGCAGGGGTGGGCAGTTAGGGGTGATCAGGACAGAAGGGGGGGCAGTGGGAGTTGATCAGGCTGGCAGGCAGAGGGGCTAGGGGCGATCAGGCAGGCAGGCAGGTGAGTGGTTAGAAGCCAGCGGTCCCAGATTGCGAGAGGGATGTCCGACAGCCAGTTTCAGACATCCCCCGAGGGGTCCCAGATTGGAAAGGGTGCAGGCCAGGCTGAGGGACACCCACCCCTGTGCATGAATTTCGTGCACTGGGACACTAGTCCTATATAATAAAGATCTAATATGCTAATTAGACCGGCTGGTGGAACGACCTTCCTGAACGACCAGTGGGCCGGGGTGGCGGGGCTATGAGGCAGCTGGGGCAGCTGGGAGGGCCGAGTCCCTTGCATGAATTTTGTGCATCGGGCCTTTAGTGTTGAATAATAGCATTGTAAACAACTCTGCCACAGAAGTACCTTGGACCCACCCAGACCACATGTACTCAACGACTTTTGCAAGTTGGCTTCTGTTGTCATAGCGTATGTCTCAATCTTGAAAATTCAGGCCAGCTAACAAATCATTTCAGAGATTTCTCACGAGCCCTATTGTGGCTTCCTACTAAATTGTTCATGGAGGCAGAAGAATCTATAATAATAAAAGTGTAATATGCTAATTAGACTGGACATCCTTCCAGATGACCTTCTAGGCGAAGCCAGGGCTGCGAGGGAAGCCCGGGTCCCAGGTGCCTGCTGGTGGCCAGAGGGAAGCCCAGGTCTTGGGTGCCTGCCAGCAGCTGGAGGGAAGCCTGGGTCCCGGGTGCCTGAGGGAAGCTGGTTCTGGCAGCCGGGGGAAGGAAGGCCTACTCTTGCACAAATTTTGTGCATCAGGCCTCTAGTAGGATCTAATATGTCTTCAAACTTCTATGCATTCTCTTTTTTTCTTTTTATATATATATTATTACAGAGAGAAAGGGAGAGGGATAGAGAGTTAGAAACATTGATGAGAAATAAACATGAATCAGCCGCCTCCTGCTTGCCCCCGACTGGCGATGTGCCTGCAACCAAGGTACATGCCTTGACCGGAATCGAATCTGGGACCCTTCAGTCCACAGGCCAACACTCTATCCACTGAGCCAAACCAGTTAGGGCTCTTCTTAATTCATTAGGGTCACTTTGTTCTCTGAGTTTTAGTTTAACCAGAAGTCCACACCAACAGTCAGCTGTTCATTCTGTATTTGTCTTCCTTGTTTGGATAGCAGCCTCCAAAGTTTCATTTCTTAAAAGCTTTTAAAATTCATTTCTATGTTGAAGTTGTGGGACTAATGAAACAGTGTAAACTAAAGTTGGGTGCAGAATGTGTTCACATGGCATATTTCTTTCAGAGTTTCTAAAATTGGAAGAAAAATATATCTAAGGAAATATCAAGTGCAGAATGCAGGTTAGCTTCAGACTCAATGTGATTTTCAAGTAACTTTTTTGGATGAGAGCAGTGAACTGGAGCAGTTTCTCTCACCAGCTTTCTCTTCATTAAATTATCATCAGATTTCTCCCAGCCTGG